TCAGGAAAAGTGGGTCCCACCACTGGGGACCAAACACGGGCAAAATGCTGGCAGGAGAAGTGGGCCCTGGTTCTGCCACCACTGGGGACCAAACACAGCAAAATGCTGGCTAATCCTCGTGCGCTCAGTTATGAGGTCAGATGGGACTGTGGATGTAAAAAGTGGTTTGTAAACCCAGGAGCTCTCTACAAATGTAAGGCATTGCCAAGGTAACAAAGAGCTCCCGAGAGCAGCTGTAGGGGACAGGTTCACTCTCTGCCCTCCACTCCCAGAGAAGCCTTGAGGAATGACTGTGGCTTTGGGGGTAACACTCTTTCAAGAGGTCACTCAGCTCTGAGAAGCCTCCTTGGGCTACTTGCAAGGAAAAGAACCTAAGCTGAGTGTTGTGCATGAGCAAAGCACCCCAAGCCTTCAGGGCCAGAGAACTGGACTGGGCCACAGGCGCTACTGGGCTCGGGGCTCAAGCGGATCTAAGGGCCCACACCTCTCCTCACTGCACTCTGGTGCCTGACACCCAACCCCTTCTTCCCTGTCCATCTGCCCCAGTGGAGCTGGGCAGAGAGCCTCCCAGGCCAGCAAAGGCTGTTGAAGTTCCTCTTTTCCCTGCTTGTGTAATCCAACCCCCCCTTCAGGCCACAGTTCCCATCCCCAGTGCCCATAGCAAGTACTAAGTAAATTTGGCTCGTCATGATGACTGGGAGGTAGAAGGGACACCAGCCTTGTACCCAAAGACCTGAGCTTGAGTCCTGACCTCACCCCTTTTCTCTCTGAATGAACCCGGGCAAGTTATCCAATCTCTCTGAGTAACAGTTCATCATTTGTTAAATAGAAATACCAATGCCTGCCTTGCTAGGAGGGATTTGTAAGACTGTGGATTATGGAATATTCTACTGACGTTTGAGAAGATAATGACAGCCTGGCTCCAGATGGCAGCTGCTGAGTGGTTGCCAGGACACTGGGCCCAGGAGTTCCCGCAGTTCAGAGGGAAGAGAGGAGCCCTGGAACCAAGGTTAGCCAGAGCCCCTTCCAGTCCACTCCTTGCCTTCCACAGCAAACAGTAGCCATGATGCCACTGTCACCTGCATAAGGGGGACTTACTCGTGGTGGGGGCTTTGGGGCCCTCCCTATTCTCCCATGGAAAGGCTGTACTTGATCCTTTCCAAAGATCTGGTGCTGTCCTATGGTGAGGTTAATGGGGAGCAACTGGACACTGGCCTGGGAACCTCAGGAGCCTATTCCAGAGGGCTCCTGAGGGAAATGGCAGGACCTTGTCCGGATCTATGAATGACAGCTTTTGCCATACCTGTAGAAAATTCTCACGGACATTCTGAGATGAAGCAAGAACTTTGTTGGGGTTCAGGGAGGTGGGCCCCTGTGGGGAGCAAGAAGGAGATGCTCTGCTGTCTGAGCTCAATCTCGTTTCTGACTGCTAGCCCCAGGAGAAACCGAACAATGGCACTTTGCTGAAGTAGAGCCCTTCAGTCCCTGAGAACCCGTGTGGGGCAGGGCGAAAGGGGGCAGGCAGGGCAGAGAATGGCAGGAGGAAGCTAGTTGACTTCGGGGATTTCTCACAATGGCTTTGTATGTTCTTTGGTATAAGCCAGTAACTTTCCATATGTCTGTGTCTGTGTTTGTTTGTCCACAGGCCTTTTATCTCTCAAGGGGTGACTGATTCAGCTCAGGCTACAGCAGCTCACTCCTGGGTCAGGAACCCCAAGACGTAATTGAAATTGACCAGTAAAATGCCTTAAAAACCAGGAAAGTTCTGGGCCTCTTTGCTTCTTAGGGGCAATGAAAATGAGATACGCAAGCTAAAATAAGAATGTGAGCTCTCTGAGTGGGGTGGGGGTGGGGAGAATTTGCGGGGGAGAGTTTGAGCTACCTTCACCTGGCACCCGTTCACCCGCTTGAGAGGAGGAAGGAAACGTGTCCTGGCGTTTGTCCTCGAGCCACAAGGTGGTGGTGTGGAGCCGAGAGTCTGAAGCAGTACTGACCCCAGGGGCAGGCTGGGAAAGTCGCTCCGCTCCACTGCCATACAGAGGTTCCCCAAAGTCCTGGAAGCTAGGCTTGTCATTTGGCTGAGTTCTCCTGAGATGCCTGGACACACACTTCTCTCTCTCGAAGCTCATGGAGGATGTATTTTGGCCAAGAAGGGCAAAGAACAAGAGGTTTCTACTGCAGGGTAAGGGACTGAATATAGAAATTCCTGCCTGAAAGGGTACGTGTTTGAGGAAGTGAGACCTCAAAACAACAGACAAGCTGGAGTTATTTGGTTCAGGGGCCAGGGGCTTGGGTTAGAAGGCCTCCTAAGAGCCCCTCTGTCAAGATCCAGAAATCTGTCTTGATTCCAGGAGCAAAAACGCACTGATGTTGGGCATAAAATACCTCCTCATCCTAGTGGGTCTTGTTGCCCCATAAATACTACACCACCCCGGGAAGGCACATAGTGACTCTGTGCCATCTTACTATGCTGATGGACAGTGACTGCAATGGAGTATGGGGGGGTGGTGGAGGGGAATTGATAATATGGGTAAATGTAGTAACCACATTGTTTTTTCATGTGGAACCTTCATAAAAGTGTATATCAATAATACCTTAATAAAAAAAATACTACACTGCCTCTCATGGGATTCGGCTGTAGATACAGTGACCATTTGGTTGCTTGTTCCTTTAAAATAAGAAGGCCACATTACATATTATATGATACATATATCATTGAAGACAGGTCACATTAACTCTGGTCTACTGTATAGTCCCAGTTCATGACCAGCATGTCATCAACTATCTACTGGTTGCTAGCATCTCTACATCTTGTAATAAGATAGTTTTGGAAAGAATTTTATCCAGTCCTCACCCATGGAGGAACCCAGAGCGGGGCAGTCATTCCCTGGATGTTCTGAGGACATACGACATGGGAGAAAGTGACTTCATTATCCTGGAAACTAAGCCCCTCAGAGGGGGGCAACTCATACAGGCAGCCATTCTTACAGACTTAGGCAGCTGTCCCTCTAAGCTCACGGAGGCACTACAAACAAAAGGCCATTTTATTTCTAGCAACATGGCTAGCAATGAATTCAAGGATCACTTGAGATTGTTCGGTGCCCTCGGTCATCAGCCTATTGGCCCCAACTCCACGGATGTGAAATCAGCCCTGCTCCTTACTTAGAGCATCTGAGAAGTCGTCTGCACCATTAAAGGTCGAAGCTCTGTGAGTCACTTGGTGGGGTCACACTTTCAACTCTATTCATAAATGTCACTGTCCAAGAATGCCTTCCTCATGTAAGCAATCGGGGTGTGTCCTGATATTAATCTCCACTCTGATATTTAATTTGCTATGAATGCCTTACCTTTGAAGCCAATCATACCAGAGTTCATTGTAGACCTGAACTGGTGGTGTTCAGGTCTCTGGGCTCTCTGACACCAATTCCCTGCTCCCGAGTGTCACCACTGGTCTGGGCCCAGGCACAGACATTCTTCATGCAGCTCAGTTGAAGTCCGGCCCTGGGGGGTTCACTGAGCACTGGCAGTGGAGCAGGAGCTCCCTCTCCTTTCCTCCCATCTGTCGATTTTCAACCTTCTTTCTAAACTGAGGTCAGAAATCACCCTCTCTGGGATGTTTTCTCTGCTGAAGTCTATCTGGTCCTAACATCCGGTAGTCAATCTGCCTAAACACTGACAGGCTCTGCCTTCGTTGCTCTGTGTTGATTTCCATTTGTCACGTGTTGTCGGGTCCATGTTCTCAGTTCTTACCTGTCCCCACAGCCAGGGTATACATGCCTTGACCCCACCCACCTTCCTTTTGTGTAGTTCCTCCCAATCCCCAGGGCCTCCGCAGGATTCTGCAGAAAGCAGGCACTCTGCTATTCCAGATGTCCCCTCTCCTGGTGTGGGAACCTTCTGGGAAGTGTCTCTGCCCAGTCTGTCTTGGGGGCATGGTAACCTGTCTAAACACTCTTGACATTTTTTTTAAGAGATTGGTAAGAAGTAGACATTCATTTCTGGAAGCAAACACAGTAAGTTGTGTGTATCCCTCTGTAATGAATAGAGTCTGTTTCCCTTCTAAGAAAGGCTGTCCAAGATGTCTTAGTCCATTCCAGCTGCCATAACAAAATACCATAGCCTGGGTGACTTACAAACAGCACAGCTTTGGAGGCTGGACATCCCAAATCAGGGTGCCAGCGTGGTCAGTGAGGGCCCCTCTTCAAGCCAGAGTTCCCTCTGCACCCTCACACAATGGAAGGGGCCAGCAAGCCCTGTGGGGTCTTGTTTATAAGAGTAGTAATCCTATTCAGGAGGGTGATCTAATCACCTCCCAAAGGCCCCACCTCCTAAAAGCATCATCTTGGGGTTAAGATTGTAACATGAATTCAGGGGAGCAGAAATATTCAAGTCATAGCAGGAGAGGAACAATGACGGCAGCTAAATGGTGGAGGGACTCAAGAGACTAGCAATGTCTTCTAGCCCCAGAAAACCAAAGCAGAACCATTTCTTAGATCATCCTGGTGGTGGGGAGAGGAACCCAGACAGATGAAAGCTGCCCATTGCTCTCAGTACTGAGCGCTATTCATCTGGGGTTTCAATTTGGTTGAGAGTATTCCTAGGGTTTCCATTTTTTGGGGGTGTTTGTTTAGCTATTGTGATCAACTTTTTTTTCATTTTATGTTCTAATTAGCTATTGGAAAAGTATATCATGTATTAAGTCACTGCTAATTGCACATTATCAATTTCAAAACATTTAAAGTTAAGTCTCTGAGGTTTTCTAGGAATAGGGTACCTGCAAACCATGGCAAATCTTATCCTCTTTTCTAACAGATATAGCCCTTACTTTTGCTAACTGTTTTATTGCCCTGATTAGAACTTCCAGAGCCATGTTAGATAATACAGAAAACGGCAGGCATGTGGACATTCTTACTTTGTTCATTATTTCATACGATGCATCGGGTCCTTCCTGTTAAATAGCATGTGATCTGCTGGTCTGAAATAAGCTATTCTTCATCAAGTTAAGAAAGTGTCCTTTTATTCCTAATTGGTTAAGCAAATGAAAAACAAACGACAAATCAGGAATGGCTATTACATTTTTTTGGATTGAATCTGGGAAAATTTTCCTTGGAATCACAGATCGTGATGCTGGTTGGTGTTTACCAGGACTTTGTCATCTTGCGTCCATAAGAAACAGCGGACTCAAAGGTTGAATGATGGATGGTGTGCATCCTATGTGAACTCTTCAAAGTCCTGAGGGCAGAGCAGGGTTCCACGCAAGATACAGCGCTGAGAAGGGGACTGCGTGCAGGCCCAGCAAGAGGGGAAGAGGAACCGGTGGCTGCCATTTCACTTAACACTTTTAAGAAAGTTGTTTGGTGCCGATGATTAAAGAGCTTGAAGAGCCATTTATCCTAAGACTGCCAAGCAGAACTCAACTACAGCTGATTAAAGTCTTTGTCAAAATATTCTATGGAAACACTTCACCACTTTCTCTACCAATGTGCAGCAAGGTTTGCATGCTTCGCCTAGAAGCTCTTCTTGGTCTGATCTGAGTCTTTCTGAGATACAAGCCTATTTTTTCTCCTATATCTTGTTTGAAAAAAAAAAAGGTAATTCCCCTACAAAAAAATTACAAGATGTCATAGAAAACTACACCCTATTAAAAAAACCGAGAACTCACAAGGCTACTTGAGTGTATTCCACTGGCTCAGAGACAGCAGGCTTCACAGCAGTCCAGGAATTGGGCTTGTGGCATTTTGGGTTGACATTGACATAATCTGTGGTTTCTTTTATGTTCTCATAGTCCAGGGCAGACTCATTTTTTCGGCCTCCAGGAACTGGAAAGACCACCTTTGTGTAATTTGTATCCTTGGCGGCCTTAGGGGAAAAGAGCAGAGAAATGTGGGTCAAGATTCCTGTTCGGAGGAGGTAGGGCACGAGGGGCAAACTGTCACTCAGAGAGGCTCACCCTGGCCTGGATGGGAGGTAACGTGGGCCCCATAAGCTGTGTCTGAGAGCAGGGCCAGGGCAGCGAGGAAGATTGCAAATGACTTTGCTCCTTCTGTCTTCAGGGCACGAATGGGTGTAAGGAGGAAGACGAGGAGACCAGTCCGAGTGAGGGTAGGATGCCGAGTGACTGGCTTAGTGACAGGGACACAGGGCGAAGAAGGGTTCCCACGAGCACTTCCAGTGTTACAGCCCACTCAGACCCACTTTGCTGGGATGGTCTCCACTGAAGTGGGCCTGTGAGTGACAACCTGACCATCCTCTCCCAAGGATGCTGTACGGACTCAGGAAGCCCCTCCTTCCTTGCTCCCCTGTCTGTGGCTGGGGCGGCCTGAGCTCTCAGGGTTTTGCAGCAGGGACCCCAGGCGGCAGACGGAGGGCTGGAATCACGCGGTGCATCTGTTACCTGGCAGGTGGGGGACGAGCTTCCAGAGCTGACTGAGCTGTCAGAGCTATCTGAGGATGTGTCGCTGTCATCTAGGGAGAAAAAAAACGAACTGTACTTCTAAAACAAGCCCGAGGGTAGGAGAGGATAGAGGCAATGGGAGGGACAATGAGGCAGATGGCAACGAAGAGAGCCGTGGAGGTGAGAGATATGGAGCCCCCCAAAAAGAAAGAAGGAATACAACAGAGAAAGGATGGGGTGGGGTGCGCAGACAGAACGTCCAAAACCAAGCAGGACCATGCACAAGAGCCCAGCTCCATCTAAAACTAGTAACAAACCCGCAAGACTGGCTGCGACTGTGCAGGGTAAGCAGGGATGTGCTGAGACAGCGAGGCCCGAAGCCAACAGCTCTGGCCTTAGAAGTCACAGGCTGTGCTTCTGATCTAAGCCTGTCACCAACTCTAGGCAGGTTACCCCCTTTTGTACCCTGTAAAATGTGAAGGCTGGACAATGATCTCTGAGGCCCCTGCCAATCAAAGAGTCTGATTCTGGCCAGGCTCCAGGGAAACTTTGGGGTCGGGGGTCATGACGCAGCCAGCGCCTCTCCCATTCCCCTAAAACACAGCTCACGGGAGTGGCATCTTCTGCTCCCACCACCTGCACCGGGGCCTTATCTCAGGGCCAAGGAAGCCTGACAACGGGATTTCTCCAGCTGGTAGGACCGAATCAAAGGATAGAGCGAACTCATCTCAATCCAAAGACAAACCAGTGAGAAAAGTGCCGTCTCTGGTCTGCGGGGCTGCTGTGCTGCTGTAGAAGCGGCCGTTTCCTATGCGAATAGTGACCTGGTGAGAATCCCAAGCTTGGAGAGAGGGAACGAGACGGCCGTGTTCCTGCTGAGGCCCTTGCTGGAAGGGGATATGGAGTTGAATCATCTCCAAGACGTGTGTTTATTAACACACTCAGACACCGCATGGTTAGCGGTGGGCAGAGGCGGGTGAAATCCTAACTCCGCTGCTAAGTGGCTGGCAGAGAAAAGATGCCACGGTATGGCAGGCAGGAGCAGAGAGAGCCCCGGGACCCCTGTGCAGCCGCTCACGCACGACCAAACCTGGAAAAGAACTCAGACCCACCCAAAGCCAAGGAGATGCGCCCCGCGGGATGGGATGGACGGCGGAATGGGAAAGGAGGCTGGGGATGCCTTTGCAGGGGGTGGGGGAGTCCTGTGGCTAGCGCCGTGGGCCCGCAGGGAGGCTCCCAGGCTTCAGACAGAGAGGGGGAGCCGTGTGACAAGCTTCCGCACTACTCACGCCTGTAGCAGGGCTCAGCCACAGGCGCGCCTCTCTCTGCCCGAGTCTCCTTCATCTCCATGGCAGCAGCGGCGGGGCCCTGGGCAGGGCTGGGCCTGAGGGCCTGGGGCCTGGCTTCTTTCAGTATCTGCTCACTCTTGTTGGCTGGAGGGGACAGGGCAAGAGTTAAAAATCAAAGCTCTCTGGGTCAGGCACAGCGCATCCCTCAGCCCCACTCACATTAGGGCAAAACGTGCAGAGGGCTCCCTTCAAATCTCCACATGCCTCCACCCCAAACCCTGGGAAACCCTCACCTCTCTTGGAGTAAAAGGCAAAGTCCAGGCTCAAAGGTCCTTCATGGCCTCACTCCTCGTGCTTCTCTCCTGCCGACCCTTGGCCCGGCCACCCAGCCCTTCCCCCCACTTTAGGGGCCCAGCTCTCCTGCCTCAGGGCCTTTGCAGGTGGGCCACATCCTCACTTCCCTCATCTCAGGGAGGCTGGCCACCATCCAATTCTTGTCTCCTTGCCTTGTTTCATTTGTTTTCTGCCTGCCACTTACCATAATGTAACTCATGTGTTTTACTTGTTCACCTTGTTCGTTGTCTCTGAGCACACCCCCCAACCCATCCCTGGAAATGGAAGTTAATAAGGACAGGGATTTTTGTTTTGTTCCCTGTTGTATCAAATGAACCAATGGATGGACAGATGGGTGGATGAATGAATGAATGAATGAATGAATGACCACAGAAGCCTAGACTTCCTTTACGAGAAAAACCTTCAAAACACCATCCTGCCCAGCCCCCTGTTTTAGCAGAGACAAAGTGGTATTATTTTCCCTGCTTATAATGCCGTCCCAGAAAGGAGCTTCTCTATTTTCCTCTATAAGTTAGTTCAGGAATTTCAGCCAGTCTCTTAGACTGACCATACTCCCTTCTGTTGCAATTCAAAGCCATTTCTTCCAATTCAGTCCTTCCGCAGTACTGAGGAACATTAGTGAGGCCGGGGTTAAATGAGCCCTCTGATGAACTCTGCAGAATCTTGTCTCTAGGCAGAACTCCGGGGGCCCGTATTCCCAAACGGAAATAGGTTGGTGGGTGGGGGTTAACTGTTTAGAGGTTGGTAGGGTGAGGGGCAATTTGGACAGAGGGTCCTCAAGTATGTTTTCAAGTGATATTCAGGGGCCCAGTGGGGCTGGTCCAGCTGCAGGCTTGGGAATGGTGCCCAAAGGTGACCAGGAGGGAAGAGAATACCCAGCCGGTTACCCATGTGCCTGCAGAGCAGGTAGCTGATGACTGCAAGGAGGCAGGCCTGGAGGATGAGGGACACCACAGCGATCGCTAAGCCGTGCCAGAGCTTCATGTCTCTGTTGGGAAAGGAGAAGGGGCGGCAGTAAAGGTTGCAGAGATGCTAATATGGCTGCAAAGCCAGCCCTGCCCCCAGCCAGAGGCAGTCCCCTCATGTTGCTGTGTGTCTCAGTGCAGGCCCTGTGCCTCTCTGGACAGGAAGGCATAGGGAGTCAGGGACGGTGCTGTGCATGCTTGGAAGGCAGCTGCACCAGTCAGCCTTACCAGAACCCCACTCACTCTGTCAGCATGGTGAGCTGCTTCCAGGCCGCGGTGGCTCGTGGGTGGGGCTCAGTCTCTTTTTGGGGCAGCAGGAAGAGAGCTGGGAGGCACCACCATGGGCTCCTCGTCTCCTCGTGGCACCACCCGCAGGACCGTCCTGGGGACCTGCAGGAGGCAAGGCGACTCGTCAGGACTCCTGATGTGTCCGCCCGATCCCCTCAGGCAAACAACCAACCTCCTGGATGTCACTGGCTTTCCTCTGACCAGATCTCAGTTTTTGAATTCTACAAAACAGGCAGTTAATAGTATTAGTACCTCCAGCCAGGGGGCACTCATTCAGTGCCAGCCACAGCACTGAGCCCTAGCGCACCCGCCATCCAACCTAATTCACACGATCCTCTGACCTAGAGATCATGGCCCTCCTGTTCTAACTAGCAAGGTGAGGCTCAGATCGCGGAGGGACATGCCTGAAGTCACACAGCTGGCAAGCAGCCAGGTCGGGCCTTGCGCTCTAAGGCCAAGCCTACACTCTCAGCCATTTGTCTCTGTTCCAGGAGAGCCTTAACCTGCTGCTAGAAGCACAAAGAGGTCCTGCTTGAGCAAACACACGGGGAGAGATTCTTTGAAGAAGTCCAAATCTTAAATACACACACACATGTACACATACCCTACATGGCTGCTTTGGACTTTAGGACCAAGACTATAGATGCTGCTACACCCTCATGAATACATTTATTTTAAAAATCAGCTTATGGATTTCACCAGCATATTGCTGAATATGGAGTTTACTGTAAGACAAAGACAGGATCGTTTCAAAGCCTTTGGAATGATACTTAGTCAGCACCGAGATGGGGCCACACAAACACCTGCTGTCCAGCTGCAGACTGTGAACCTTCATAAGCCATTCACCATAAAGCTGATTGCCCAGTAAGGGTTTCCCCAGTATGGGAAGTCCTGAAAATGTCATTTATATTTCTCACACTAGCACTTTCTAACACCAAAATGTGGACCAAGAGTCAGGAGAAAGAGAAGGCAGCGGTGGGCAGGGAGGTGTGGGTTCCTACCAAGGCCTCTCCAGGGCTGGGGGTGTTGGCCAGCTGGAATTCTCCAGAAAGAAAATACCATCTCCCACATGCCCTTCACATTCCAACAAGCTAGTCCTGGGCAATGACTTTTCTTTGCGAGGTCAAAGTTGGGAGCAATACATACTCCATTTATTCATCTTAATTCCTTAAGCTCCTTCTTTGCAACATAATAAATTCTAGACACTTCTCCTAAAGGAAACTGATTCTCTCTTCCCTTTTGCTTTTCAGCTTAAAAATGCAAAGCACACCTAATATTATCATTCCCAAGGAATTCTATTTAGTTTGATTTATAAAGATGGACTCAGGATCCAGACAAGAGTCCTTTGTTTTGTACAGATTCAGCGTGTAAGATGGGCAGGGGTGCAGATATGAAAAGTGGGGATGTTCTAAAGGGAGAATCCCCCTTCTGGCTGTGTCAGAGCCCTCCCTCTGCTTAGTCTGCAGTGCAGAGAAACCCCCAAGGTCTCCTCGTGAGCAACAGGGCTTCTGGGTTTCTTCTGTAGGTAAAAAAGGGGTCACAGGGAGGCAGGAAGGGGACACTGACCCTGATGGCAGGCAAGACAGGACCCCAGGAAATTATTCCTCTCCCTAAGTCTGTAGACAAATGCATAGAAAATCCAATATCCTCCAGAAAGTTAGTTCAGTCAGAAGAGACTTGTGCACAAAAAATAAAATTTCAGAGCCAAGACACTGGAAATAAAACATGACAATGATGAAAGATGAAACAAGAAGGGGATTTTTCAGGAAAAACAATGTTGGAGGATTGGGTGACCTGACTGAAAAAAGTGCATAGACGTATTTTAGATGCCCTGCTCTTGTTCATTTTGGATAAGTCCTCCTAAAGTTTTGACAGACACTGATTTCCCAAGCAAATTTCTGTACCAAGACTGATTTCTGGGGCCCCTGCAGAAGGAAGATCAGACTTTACCTGAAGAGCTTTATTGCACCACAAAAGACATTAAAATTGTGGAAAACAGTTAGGAGACAGGCCGGTGTGTCTGGGACATCAAAAAGGCTCCGTTTTGAAAGGTGCTCTAGTGTTTCAGTATTGATTACTCATACTGAATCTCATTTGTCCTTAATCACAGAAATTATTCTTCTTCTTAAATCAGAGGATGCAGCCAGCAAGACACCAGGGCTATGTTCTGAAACCACGCTCAAGGTTTTAATTTTTGAAAGTTCCTCCCTCTATTTTTTTAAAAATGAAAGAACTAATAGATATTTGTAGTAGAATTAAAAATGCAAGCAAGCAAAGCTTTTCACAAAATCACCCCATATTTTATTCCATAAAATTGTCTATTTATTTTCCTAAATATGTATACACTCTGTATGTGTGTGCGTGCCCATATTGCACACATATACAATCATTTCTAAACGTGGCAGGATACTGATCAGCAGCTTTTCCTGTTTGCCTAATATATCATAAACATGTTTCCAGATCAGAGCAAGCTCTATTAAAAAGTCCCAATCTGGGGACCCACAGGCTAAATTTGGTGCCTAGAGGATTTTTGTCTGGTGATGTACTTTAAAGACTTGGATTTGGGTGTCCTAAGAAGGGACGTGGACTCTCTAGTCCCTGACTGATCCCCTCTGACATTGGGAGCCAGACACTTCTTTGTTGTCTAGAACTGTTTTGCAGCCTGCTGGACATTCAGTTTCCTGGAAAATCACAGAGTAACAGGTCAGTGTAACGACCAAAATAAAAAAATTACCCCTCGCATTTCCAAATTCCCTTCTGAAGCAGTAGCTTTTGCCCCCAGTTGAGATTCACTGCATTCAGTAAATGTTGCATTATTTTAAAACCATCACCTTAATTTGGCTCTTCATATAAAATAATTTTATAGTAATTCATCATTTGACTCTATCATGAGCATCTCACTAGCCAACTGACACAAGTACCTGTATCAGATTACAGTATAAAAGCCAAACAGACCTCAGTCTGGGTCCAAGTTCTGTTCCCTTCTAGATGTGAATTATTGAGCTTTCTCAGTGCCTCAGTGTCTGTTTCTGTAAATGGGGAGAATGAGAGGGCCCACCTCACAGCGTTCTTGGGTGGGCTCAAGAGTTAAAAAGATCTTTATTCCAGAACAGGCTTGTGGGAAGTACTCAGTAATGACTTACAGTCTCCCATCATGGTTCGACTTAAAATTTTTTGGTTTTACAATGGTGTGAACATGATACACATTCAACTGAAGCCATACTTCAAATTTTGAATCTGGATCTTTATTGGCAGCAACATGAAGTCAGTCCAGGTCTGTCATGATGCTGAGCAGGGGGCCACAGCTCCCGGCCAGCCAGGCGATCTCAAGGGTAGGCACCCAATAGGCTTACAACCATTCTGTCCCCACACAGGCATTCTGTTCCACTGTCATGAGACAGTCAATGTTTTATTATAAAATAGGCTTTGTGTGAGATGACTTTGCTCAACTGCAGGCTAATGTAAGTGTTCTGAGCGCATTTAAGGTAAGCCAGGCTTAGCTGTGGTGTGTGGTAGGTTAGGTGCAGTAAATACATTTTCGATTTACGGTATTTTCAATTTATGATGGGGTTATTAGGACACAACCTCACTGTAAGGTGAGGAAAGTCTGTGTTCAGTATTATTCAACCCTAAAGCACTTCTCCAAGATGGTGACTAGAGTAGAGCTATTAAAATTGGGTTGGTCTATTTTAGGAAACAGGCATTCATTTTGAGTACAGTTTGAAGATAAGATCTGGGACAGGATGAGGTATGAAAATTATGACAGATGTCATTACCCAAGTGGCTAATGGCCCCCTAACCACAATGAGCAGGTTGTTTTTTGGGTCTAATCGCAAATTGCTGGTCAGAGATTTGGCAGAAATATCCGATCGCTTGCACACACACATGTACCAAACAGCCAGGAACTGAACACGTTAAGGTAATTCTGTCGTGGCAGAACACCAGGGCCACGTGAGACTTTGGTAGGCCTGGTTCCATCGTGAAGATCGGGACTGTCCTGCCCTCTTTCACGCTGCTGAGTTCTGACACCCAGACCCGTGATAAAGTCAGTGCCCTACCAGGTGCCTCAAAACCACATAAGCTGAGCGCATAGAGCATTTCTTCTGTTCAGTTCAGACCTGGGTGGAAATCCTGAGACCTCCCGTTAAGGCTGGATGCCATCTTAGCGTTCCACCTTCTCTGACGAAGGAGCTCTCGTGGCTTTTGTAGTGAATGCAGCGTAACACCAAAGGTGAAATAATAAAGATGCACCTTTTCCTGCCTGGTGCCATGCTTTCTTTGGAGAGATTTACTCTAGAAAGAGTGATTTAAAACAAGGGTGCTGTAGATGATCAACATGAGAATCACAGGAATTAGAGTAGTTAATATTGTTAAGCTGACTTAATCAACCTCTTAAAATTAACTAGCTTTAAGGTTTTTTAAAAGGCTCTGAAAAGGATTTTTTTTGCAATGTTCATTCATTTATTGTTTTTAAAATTGATCATTTGAGCTAAAGCACAGCTGTGTTGTATAGAGGACAAGAGAACAAGACAGAGAGACAAGGGCCTGGCCCCTTGTCCAGGTCCACGCTTGCTAACTGTGCGACCCAGGGCAGGGAGAAGCCCTTTCAGGCCCTGGCGAATTCAGGGCCTTGGGTGTGAAAGTACCCCTGAGGCTCTCTGTGGCCCTAAACATTCTGTTCTTTAAAGACTGGAGTATGAAAGGAGAGAGGAAGGCAACGTTGGATAAACATAGACTATTTTAAAAGAAAAAAGAAATCCTTGTTTCCATTTTACAATATTATCTTGCCTCCTCCACATTTCTAGACTTTTTTCCCCCGATTAAATATGGGGTTTTGACTAATCAAGGAAAGGAGAAAGCATAAATAAACCAAACGAATGATAAATATAACCACAAAAACAGATAAAAAATAGTGAGACTACTAAGATTTTTTTAATGAAATCTCAGTGAAATTAATGTTTTCCCAGAAAAATATAAATTAGTACAATTGATTCCATAAGACACAGAAAACTGAAACAGACTAAAACCAAAGCAAAATAACCAGCAAGAAGTTCGGGAAGCACATGGTATCCAGCCGCCAAAGGCAGAGAAGTTGGAGTCAGACAGCTCGGGTCGCATCCCAGTTCATTCTCTACATGAACCTGATCTAGTTATTTAACCTCGCAAAGCCTCAGTTTTCTTATCTGTAAGATCAGAACAATAATAACTAATTCTCAGGATTAGACAAGACAAATATAAATGATATCACTTCTGACGATGAAATGAAATGATGTATGGTATAGTTAATACAGCTTCTGTTACATAATGATAAGCATCCAATAAATGATAGCTATCATTATTTAGAAATTAAAAGTAGTATCAAAATTATCTACTTAGAATCTGTCTAAATGGTTTTACAAATGAGTTATTTGAAACCTCTAAGGAGCGTGTAATTTTTACACTATGTGAGCAGATTCAGGGCACAGAAAAACTCTGAGCTCATCTCACAAGGACAGAGGTAAATACATGATAATCTCAAGAACTTATTCCAGGGATATCCAGAAGCAATTAATTATTACAATAATGAAAATTAGCATTGAATATTTACCGTGCTCTTTTACCCTCTCATCTATAAGAATAGACATTACCGCCATTTCCTAGACAAGGACACTAATGATTTTTTTGCCCCGGGTCTCCCCACTGGAAGAGACAAGTTTCAAATTCAAGCCTATTTGACTCAAAAGCCTAACTTTCAATCATTACAAGAGAGTGCCTTTATATAATACAAATACGGCATTGATTGATCAAAGTTTAGAAATGTTGATCTCAGTAAAATGGAAAAAAAAAACATTTTGATGAAATCAAATACCCATTCTTATTTTTTAATAAAATAAAAATATCTTTATTAAATTTTTTAATAAAATAAGAATACTAGGATTGTTTCTTACTACAATAAAGAATATCCCTTCCATGCCAGTGATCAATATCTTACCAAATGGTAAAATATTTTAGCAGTTATTTGAGAACAAGGATGTCTGCTGTAACCATTTTAAGAAATGAGTCTTGGAAATTCTAATTTCTGGAAGTTGGAAGTTCCTCCAACCTATAGTAATAATAAGTTATTGAATATTTATTGAGTGTGTTTTACAATGCCTTTACATGTATAACTTATCTGATTTCACAACCACCCTAGGAGGTATGTACTATTATTATTTCCATTTTATAGAGGACAAAACTAAGACACAGAGAAGTTAAGTCATTTGCTCAGGATGATGAGAAGAGTTAATGGGACTTTGTCCATAGGCAGGCTGGTGCTGGAGCCTGAGCTATTCATTGATACATGAAAGAAATGAAAGTATAGTTTGGGCAAGGAGAAGTCAAATTCATTCTTATTTGCAAAGATGTGATATTATACCTAGAAATCCCAAAAGGATCCATAGAAAAACTAGTGAAATAACAGGCACAGGAAGTCCTGAGAACAATTTTCAGAAAGTTATTTTGAAGAAAATAATAAACATTTACCCAGAAATCTAAAAGACTTAAACTACTAGAAAGACATAGGATGTTTCAGATTGGGAAGCTAGAACACTAAAAAACATCACTTTGAAATTAACTTACTGGTTCAATATAATCCCATCAAAACTAGAATTTGAATTTTTCATAAATCAAAGTTAATTTAAAATTTAACTGGGGGCAAAAATAACAATCAAGAGCTGAAACATGTTTGACAGGAACTGGGAGAGTAGGTTCCTGACATACCACGTTTTAAGTGTAGTGTAGATTTGAAAAAATATGCCAGTCTGTGCAATAAATGTATCATAAAATGCTTCATTTTATGAAGGAAAGGGTTATTTCAGAAATGTTGCACACAGTATAATGAACTAGCTACTTATAGCAAAAAGGAAATAACTTACATCTTGACTTGATATAACAAAGTAAATTCCAAAGGGATTAGAAGGTAAATATTTCTAAACTGAGCCATTGAAAGTAGAAGGAAATAGGAGTGAATATTCACATATTCAATCATATTTATTAAATCCCCAGAAGAGAGAAAACTGTCAGCTTATATGCAATGGAAGAAATCACAAAGCAATACAAAAAAAACCCAGATAGATTTGGGTCTAAAATATTAAAACTGTGTACATTTAAATAAAATAAATTTAAAGGCAAACAGAAAAAAAACCTCGAATGTGTATGCATGTGTGATACATAATATTAAAAGATTTTACATCTTTTTCTTTGACAAAGATTACTAACAAAAACCCTAGCACCTCCAAAATATAAATGGGAAAAGGCGCAGAAGAGATGATTCATAAGCAATCCAGAATGGGAGCAAAACTATTATTGCAAAGTAGCTCTACCCGCTGTTGATTATAAAAGTGAAAAATGGGAAACAATCTAATTGAAAAACAAAAATTAAATAATTGAGGGTGAAGATATAGAATGGAATATTATACCAACATTTATAATTATGTTTAGGAAGAATTAATCTGGGAAAGAGGGGTCATTAAACATTTTTGTCTATCATATTAGTTTACTAATAACCACCCCAGTCCATTCACCATTCACCCGATTCAGTTCACCAAATCCAGAATAGTTCATTGCCAACAATTTTGCATATCAAATATAGATTTATTCATGAATATAAGCTATGGAAGTTAAATTGGGAATTTTGCTTAGATGTATTTGTTCCAAAAAGAGAAATGGAAGAAAATATACCTAAATGCTAACAAAACTGGGTATTGAGATTGTGAATGAAGATTTATTTAATCTCTTATACCATGTGTGATTGTTCAAGGTTCCAGCAATTAACAGGTATCTTTTTTCTAATCCAGGGAAAAAAATATTTTAAAGGTATTGAAACAAGCCCAGAAGTTCTGAGTGGCTTAAATTAGCGTGATACCAAATTTATCTACATAAAAACTTATTTACATCTGTAGTACATTGCACCATGTTTCCTAGAATGTTGAGATAATCAGCTAAATGTCTGGATTTCAATCAATGAAATATTTATTGAGTGGTCTGGGTGCATGGTCCTGTGTGAAATACTCTGATGGACATGAAGAAGGAAAGAATATCATTTAAGCTTTCAAGAGCTCACATTGTACTTGGAAAATCAAGACATTAATAAGTGAAGAAGAAAAAGCAGTAGAGATGGCACAATGGGGCATAATGAATTGTTAGGAATGGTATCAATTATGTAATATTCCAGATGGAAAAGAGATTCCCATACTTGACCACATGTAAACAAAAGGGTGAGAAGCAGGGACTTAGTGGCCAGGTAGATTGGATTTGGAATTTCTGCTCTGGCCTTCCTAGCTATGAGCTGCTTTCTCTCTTCAGGCCTCCGTGTTTCATCTGTAAAGTGGGGACGACACCTGTTGTTTTTTAATTCATACGTACTGTGTGCTTACTATGCGCCACCGCCATGTAAAACATTTTGTAAAAATTATGCTGCTTAATCTGACAAATTACAGCTTTATGAGGTACATACTATTGCTGTCCTCATTTTACATATGAGAAAAACAGGCTTTAATCCCCTGTAGAGGGGACAGAATTCAAATCCAGGCTGTTTGGGGCCAGAGCCTTCACCATACCCCACACAGTATTTAAGAAGGTCAGTCCAGTGCCTGGCTTCTACAGGCGCTCAGCAGGGACTGATCCTCAGATCAGAACAGAGGATTCAACCCACATTGGCTATGTAAATGCACCCATTTCCACAGGTCCAGGTAAGAAAACGGGGCTCACTCATGGTTTTCAGGTGGGACATACAAACAACCCAAAGTACAAAGCCATATGGTCGTGGGAAGCTCCCAGTCCTAACTAGTCCCTGCTCCTATGACCATCACATGTCCACATACCAGGGAACAGAGAAGGTCAAAATATACAGCCAGGAGAAAGGAGGAGTGGGTCTGGCAAGCCCCCCAGGGAAGGGGATGACAGAGAACGAGGGTGTACCTTTATCCTGGGTATCAGAGATATCGCCTGGTCACCTTCAGTGCCAGTCACCATGGCAGGGGCCTCACACCAGGTGGTTGGGACGCATCTGGAATATGAAACCAGATGCTGGATCACATTCTAGCTTGGCACCTTCACAAATTCAGCCTCGGGCACATCGCTTCCTCTTTCTGAGCCTCAGTTTCCCTGTCTATAAACTGAGGGGGATGGACTAACTAGATCTAGTTCTGATATTTTGTTGTTCTAAAATCCCAGGTATCTAAAATGGACAAAAAGGATAAAGCTCAAATCAACCAGAAACAGTGACTTCGAGTCTCAACCAGAGTAGTCACATCCCTTGTGACATATAGGGGCAGGTGCAGCCAATTTTTTAGGAGGAAAACAAGTTACCCCAAGTTCCTAATTAGCAATTTTAAAGGAAGAATTTTTGCAAGGTAGTACTGGAGTTGAATGCAACTTGGTAATTTGGGGGCATTACAAGCCATTACTTGAGATGAATGCAACTGAATGCAACTTAGTTCTGAGACTAAATCAACAAATGTACCAAGAATTTAAAGCCATGTAAGTGGTATTCATAGATCCATTTTGCTAGTTCTCACAAGCTCCAGGTAGATTTTAAGCGTGCAAATATTCTCTGCTTCATAGATCGCTCCACTGGATTTCACAGAAACTAACACCGTCTATGGACTATGCCATTTGTGGGTGCTCTGGTGGCTGGGACACTGTCCTGTCCATATTTTCACCCTACAATTCCTGGGACAATGGTTATAGAGAACGTGGTGGGGAAAGCACTTTGTAACATTCTGTGCACATTGCAATTAAATCAATTTTCATGTAAGAAATTCTCTTTAAACTTGGGGGACCCTCTGAATATCCCTGCATCTCAGTTTCCTCCTCTGTTAGTCCTCAAGTCCAGTGTCTCCCTCACAGAATTTGTCAAAAGGGGTAGGTGAGATCATGGAAACTTCCAGTCCTGTTCCTGCCTCTTTGCCGGGTCTCAAGGCCAGGCCAGCTTTATGGGCATGCCGCCTATGCAGCATAGTAGAGCCTTATGCTCAGAAAGGCCCCTTGACTGATTTAGTACTCTGCTGCTGCCAACTTTAAATTCTTCATTTTTAACAGGGAACCCCAGATTTTCATTTGCACTGGGCTCCACCAATATGCCACCGATCCTGCTCAAGGTGTTGTATTGAGTAGAGCTGCCAAAGCTCATACAACAAGGTCAACGCACAGAACGAGAAACAGAGTTGGCCAACCACCAAGTCTTCCTCGAGCGTAGTCTGCACTGCTGGGCACCACATCTTCTGAGCTCCCAGGCTGCAGAGATGATGGGGAGAGGCCTGCTTTAAGAACACTCTTCTGTGCCAAAGTTCCCCAAAGAGCTTTTCTGCACCGTTTGGCTTCAGTCAAGTCACTTAACCCCTTTGTGCCTCGGTTTCCTCAATGGTAACAAGAAGCTATATTAATAGTACCTATATTTTCAGGTTTGCTGTGAGGATTAAATGAGTTAATCTATGGAAAGCTCTTAGAACAGTTCCTGGCACATAGTGAGCCCTACATAAGAACAACTGTTATTATTTGCTGTTGTTACTGCCGGCTTTTCCTTGCCCCGATGTTTGCATGGCTTTCCTCCCCGGCAGCATGCATTTTCTGACTCCCATTCATAACGTTTTTAAACTGCCAGCATGGTCCTCTGCCCTTCGCACATACCACCCCTCTGCGACTCAGAACAAATCTTAAGGAAAAAACTCCTGCAGGGAGATACTCTCTGAGATCTGGTTCTAGCTGACTTAAAAAGAATAGTTAATTAGAGGCTACTATTGATGGAGCACCGTAGTGGGCACTAAATGTACTGACTGTCTGTAATCCTCAAAGCAGCAATGTAAGCTAGTGGTTTTATATCCATTTTACAGATGAGGAAACTGAGGTTTACAAATGTTTAGCCGTGTTCTTTGGATCAAGTCCGGATGCAAAGTCTACGCACCTTCTCACTGGAGCCCTGATGGCTGCTGCTGCTCTGTAGACAGATCTCAGGTCTCAGAAACAAAAGACTAATGTCCATAAAGTGCCAACAGCCAAAACTTAGGGTCGCTCTGAGCCAATATCAACTGAACTCCACACCCTGGAATTCTAACCCATAAGTGGAGAATCCCCCTCAAAACTTCTACATATATATGTTCGTAACCAGATGCATGCTCCTCAAGCTAAATTAAAATCGTACCTACCGACAATACTTACCCCCAGGACCATGAGCAAGGTCTGATCCCAGCCTGTATTTCAGCAAGGTCCTGGTGGAAACTGCTCTCTTCCCACCCCCCAGGCCCACACGGAAGCTTCCTGTCACTGGAGGTCAGTCACAGACGTGTCATCATTTCCAACAGGGTGGGGCATGCTGCTCAGAAGATAATAATCTAGCTCAGTTGAGTAGAGCGGGGTGAAGCAACAGATAACACCTCCTGTCTCTTGCAGCGGGAGGTCTGCTCCTTCTTGCAGAAAGATTATGCAGATGGAGGAGATTAGTAGTCGCTTTCTCTCTATGTAAACACACAAATATTTGATACCACAAATATGCACACAACCTAGAGGAGTGGAAAGAGCACTGAAGGAGGAGTCCAGAGGCCTGGGTTCAAGTCCCAGCTCTTCCTCTAGCTCAGACATGCTGCATGAGTTGATACAAATCCCTTTCCCATCAGGTGACTTGTGTTCTTCCTCTATAAAATAGAGAAGTGGGTCTCTAGATATGAGCAAAGGTCCCTTCTAGCTTGGCTCATCTCTGAATCTATGTGTGATGTGGCTGTAGAATGAGAATGTGTGCTGGGGATGTATGGCAGCTGAGGAGGTATAACTCTGGTGGGAAAATAAGTTTCCAGCCTGAGGCAAAACATCTTTGAAGTTGAAATCAGTCAAAGGGAGAAATAAAGTGGGAGAAGCCCGTTTATTGCTTACAGGCAGTCATCCACTTCTGCTGGCCTGTGTCTCTCACAACCTGGCTGCAAAAAGGGACCCCACCCAACCTCTCCAGTCCAGATAGACCCTCACTTTCCCGACCCTTGTAATCACCTATTGATATGGAGATGGACTACTTTTCTCCAGCCCTTCGAAACACCTATTGACATGGAGATGCACTAAGGCCAGGCTAGAGATTCTGGAAATATTGCAATTTTACCCACAGGACCAGTTAATCAGTGTAGAATAATGGCTTCATCATCAGATATATTCAGATTTGAATTCTGGCTCTACTAGTTAGTAGCTGGGTGACTTAGGAAAACTTACTTAACCTCTCTGACCCTTTGTTTTTGCAATAAATACCTAATTTGTAAAAAAAAAAATCATAAGTTTATTTGAAGTTAAATAATATAAATAAACAGGCAAAGCACTAAACAGAAGTTCCTTTCTGTGGTAAATGACAAATGGTAGCTACCTAGATTTTTATTCTCTAAATGAAAGCTAGAAAACCATCCCTTGGGTTGAGTTCCACTGAGATTTTTATGACCCATGGTGTGTCATGAGCTCACTGTGGAAATATGTAGCTGTAGTTGCAGTTTTCTTTCCTTTGCACAACTTATGTTAAAACATGAAGCCCCACCATCACTCAGAATTTAGGGACGCATGAGAACAGTGGAAGCTGGACAGACTGAGTCCCTAACTGGGCTCTCGATACCCTCCAGGTTCACCCTGCCAGGACCAATATGCTCCTCTCTGCTCCTGACTCGGTCATGGTCTCTAGGCTACAGTTAACCTGCAGGAATCAAACCAGGATTCTTGACTCACCTCTTCAGTGACCTTTTTCTATGGACTCGGTGTAGATATGACAGCCGCTAGTTGTGCAACATTCACACTGCTGCTTCTTGTGTGGCCCATTCTTGGACCAGACCCATCTGTGATGTTACTCCAAGGTTCACGGTATCATGCAGTTGTTAAGGGTCCCGTGTGTACACTCTCACCAGGACAGATGTGCAGCAATAGAAAGTCCACTTGACTTGGACCTCAGTGACCTGGAGATCTAAGGCATTTGATCTCTCTGGGCTACATTTTCCTCATCTAATGGTAAGGAATTCTGATGAGATCATCCATGACTGCTGTAAATAGCGAAGTGAGGCTTTTTGCAGGTCTGTGTCTTATTCTTCTCTGTATCTTTGATCGCCAGAACTCAGCTTGCACCTCGTAGGTGCTCAACAAATGTTTGTGGCATGGATAAATGAGCAAATGCATGGGACATGCCAGCGACTCACATGCTGCCTACCTACATGCAAACAGCTGGGAAGATGAGATGATGATTCACGCACAAAGGCCCTTACCGCGCTTCTGCCTGGAGGCCACAGAGAATGCATTCAAGCTGGGGCTCCTCTCTGAGATTCTGGTCCACGGCTCATCTGCTAAGCCCATGTGATATGGCCCCCCACTCTCTACTTTCAGCTGATAGACTCCAGCCCCAAAAGCAGGATTCTAGGGGAGATCAGAACAGTGATAAATGAAGTTATCACCTTTGTCAAATCAACAGGAAGCTATTTTTGATCGTTTCTCACCTGGAGGAGAAGGAGCGGTTGATGGAGGTCGATAACACACTTTCCCGTCGCCCCCAGTTTGTAAGACCGCATGCCTTCTAAGCCCCTTTCCCCCTGCACAATGTCCCCAACATTTGTGGAACACAGTTACTCTCTGCAGTTACTCCAATTTCTCTCTCCATTTTTAAGGGAGGAAAATAGTGTGTCAACAGGATTGGGGAATTTTTGATGAGGGGAAAAAATGCAATCACCCTAATTTGTTTTGCACAATTCTTTGCCTGCGTACTTGTGTGTGTGTTTTTTTAAATAGATTCCCAAATTGTTTTCCACATTCTAACAAATGAGCTTTTAAAACTCACAGTTCTGGTTATGTCCCTCCCTGCTTAAAATTCTCCAGTGGCTTCCCACTGCACTTAGCATGAAATACAAGAGCCTGAGCAAGATCTAGAAGACTCCCGCGTCCTGGCAGCTGCCTGCCCTTCTCACTTTATCTCCGGCACTTGCCTTGCTTTTCTCTCTTCACACTCCTCCAAGTTCCCTCTGCACTCAAGGGGTCTGCACATGTGGGACCCTCTGTGCCCAGACGGGTTTTGTGGTATTTTTAGTGGCTGCCTAAGAGCTCACCTTGCTGATATAATCTGAAATTCCAAACCATTCCTTGGGGCATCATTCACTTTCCAGTATTCTTATTAGAGACAACCCCATCATGGATAACATTGTACATAATGATTTTTTGTGCTTATTTTAGACTATTTGCTTAGGCTTAAGATCCAGGAGTTGATATCTAGGTGAAAGAAAAGCGTCCTTACGGCTCTTGCTTCATACTGACCTTCTGCTGTAAGAACATGTGCTCCTTTAGCAGTATTTGAACACGTGTTTCACTACAATCTGGATAGCAATGAATGATCACTTTTCAGTAATTATATAGTATTATTGCCATGGGTGTTTTCCTTTTCAAGTCTGTAAAACATTTTATTCCTACTAATAAACAATGTGTTGAGCACCAACAGCTGTTATCAGTTGCTTTATATACACAAACTCATTTAATCCTCACCACAAATTTGCTGGGAAGATGCTGTTAGAAAATAAAGAAACTGAAAATGGGAAGGTTAATTTGCCCCTAAATTCACAGAGTTGTAAGAAACAGAATCGGGTTTCAGATTCAGGTCTCGTATTATTATTTCGAAAGCCATTTACTTTATGTGTTATTCTTTCACCTTCCTCATCCCCTGATTGACCATCTGCATCAGTGAGTTATACGGACACTCAGCGCGCTTTGGTTGGGGGTGCAGAGCTGCCCCCTAGGTTCCCGGGACTGCACAGAGGAAGCACCCAGCCCGTGCCTTCCCAGTGGGCAGCCTATAGACAGCCACTCCCGTCCCCTACCCGCTTCCTGTGAGACTTACTTTTCTATTGATTAAAGTCTTACTCCATGAACCGAAGTTTAACCTCAGGGACAGTTGCTTTAAAACGCCCACCTCGCAGAACTGGTCATGAACCGTGAGCCCACATGAAGTGCTCTGTTAACTACACAGCACACTACAAATGTCAGGCTTTATTATCTTAAAAATGTTTAATAGGAGGAAAACAGAGACTAACTGCTAAGGAGTGCAGGGTTTCTTCTGGTGTGACGAAAGTTCTAGAATTGGCTGCGGTGATGGCTGCATGGCTCTCTGAATCTACTAAAAGCCAGGGGACTGTTAATGAGTGAATGTATGATATTTGAATTCTACCTCAATAGAGCTGATATTTAAAAATTATTATGTAAAAGATTGAGGGCTTTGCTACGAGGGCCCCTATGCTCTTCCCTCCAATGAGTCTACCATTCATTCATTCACTGATTCATCCCATAGGTATTTTCTGAGGGTCTGTGATGCCCCTGGCTTTACACAAAGCACATGGGATACAGAAGTTTCAGACGATAGACATGGTCCCTACCTTCGTGCAATTGGGATCATAGACTTCAGATAAAAAATCTCACAAAGGTCTGATGAATGTTATATTGTGGAAAGTTAAAGGGGGCCAGGGAACACACGTCAGCCGAACTCATCACAGTCCCTGGTGTGAAATGACCTCAGCGCTGACTTAGGGGGTGGGGGCAAGGGCTACAGGCAGGGGAAAGAGCACGAAAAGGCTCAGTGATTTAAAAAGATGCGAGCCAGCCAAAGGGGGAGGGGCCAGTGAGGAGGCTGCAGAGGTGGGTGTGGGCAGGATCACAGAGAGCTGCCATCCTAAGTTTGGATTTACCCAGTGGGCAAAGGAACCCACTGAAGATATATTGTTGATCATTTGAAGAGAGGCAAGGTCAGAGTTTGTTTTTAGAAACCCCTCTTGTTGCAATGTGGAGAATAGATTGGAGGAGACAGAGACTGGAGGCAACTGAACAGAGTTTTTGAAATATGTAGGCGGTAGAAGTGACAGGAGAGGATGACTCAACTACTTGGAATGGAGATCGGAGGAAGAATTCCAAGGGGACTCAGATTTTTAGCTTGGGTAAGTGGGCAAGTGGTGGTGCGGTAGGGGAGCGGGGGAGCGGAGGAGCAGTGGGGTGCCTTCTGTCCCTGATGCGTTGAGTCTGAGTACACAGGGGACTGGTGCACGTGGTAGTTAAGGACCCGGATTCTGAAGCCGGACTGGCTCTACTTACTGCTGTTATCTAACCTCTGTATCACTCAGCTGCTTGGAGATGAGCATAACATCAGCTTGCCCAAGTGCGGCTGTGAAGACATGTGAATCCGTATCTGTGAGGCACTTACAGGGTGTCCATACACTATAGTCTTTCCACACGAAGCATCTGCCTTTATTATTGTCACTATACACCCAAGAGGTGAAGCCCAGTAAGTTGGATGCATACATCTGTCCGCCGTTGGAGATGTAGATTTCAGTGGCACCAGCAACTGGCTGTCACTGAAGGCTTTGGGAGTAGAGGGGGAGGGGGAGGGAGTCCAGGAGAAAGCCCTGAGGCGCTCTAATGTCAGAGGGACAGGTAGAGCCTGCCAAGGAGACCCCAAAAGCATGACAAAGACACAGGGGAAGTGGGGTGGGAGTGCACAGATGCCAACTCTCAAGGAACATCCATCTCACATATTAGGGTCTCTGGTGTACCCCCACTTTCCTTATGCAGTCAAGATCGCCCCAGTTGGGGTGTTTCTGGGGCACATTGGTGAATTCAGTAAACGGAGTTGTTAATATCTATGCCCAGAAACATATATTCAGAGTATATTGGGGGAGTACATTTCTTTACAAAGCCTGAAATACGTCCTCTTATAAAAACAGGACTCCCTGGGGAATGACAGACACCTCTTGACACTCATCAATTTCAAAAGTTTGGACCTTTGTTCATTGAGGGTGTCCTCCATCTGGGCTAGTCAACTTTGCACGCAAATTTTCTTCCACTATTTTGTCTCTTTCGACAGGAAGTGAAAAATTAGGGGCCATGTGGTTTATTCATTTGTTGAGTTCTTGTTTATGAGGAACTATTGCTGAATGATACTTGAGGCAGTTTCTCACAGGGAAAAAAATGTGTTAAGTGATAATGGCCATTCCTTTCTAAAGATGGCAAGATAGTCCTGCTGATGTGGTTCATTCAGCTAATCAATGAGGAATAACTCCTCAGAATGCGATCAATCATAATCAGTTGATGATAACTCTTTACATTTTCTATGGAACCTTATAGTTTACAGAATATTTTCATATAATGTCATCAGATAATACCTGTCTGTGAGGTAGTCATTATTATTTCCATTTTCAGATGAGAAATCCTGAACTCAGGGAAATAGTTTGCTTACTGTGTACAACCTTCATCAAGTTAAGGGCCAAGACTGCCAGCTGACAGGAGGGTGGTGAGCCAGGTGTGCGGCAGGTGACAGTGGAAGCTGTCCACCCTGGAAGTCGGCAGGAAAGGGGCGTGTTGTCTGTGGAGGACTTTAAAATAATACAACTAGAAGAAGTCTGCTCCAACAGCCCTGCCTGCTGGGCACTGAGAAGCTGGCTTTTTCTGTCCTCCTCATAGACACATTAGGAGACCAAGTGAGCCTCCTTTCCAGGGGCACCGAGAGATTTCTCTCAGGACTTTGAAAAGTGCTTGGGGTTCCCAGTCCCTGCCCTTGTTAAAACAGATGCATGTGGGGGGATTTCTTGGGTCTTGCAGAATTCTGCTTTCCCAGGACAAAAAACAACTGACACATGGCCAAACATCTAGAAGCTTCTCAGCCTATTTAATGGAATTTCCCAAGAAAGTACCCACTCACTCACTGGATAGCTGCCCTGAGAGCAAAGGAGAGGAAGACAGCCACCCCCTGCCAGTCCGGTGGGCTGAGGACAACTTCTTCTGAGGATGAGCTCGAGGGATTTGTCCTAGTGCCCCAAGACCTGAGCCTCCTTGGAGTGTATAAGTCATTTGCCCTCTGGGATTTAGCTGGAAATGTCCAGAGTTCTCCCCTCTGAACTGAGGACAGCTACTTGCTCTAAAATCACAAAGGCTAGTCGGAAATGTCAGTATTGGAAAGTCTTGCTGTGAGCAGCCTGGAGCTGAGGGGTTTCCTGGAACCCCAAACTCGCAGTGCTGAAACTGGGACAGCCCCAGGATGGGGGTCATCCAGCCTTCTAGTTGCTGAGGTTTCTTCATCATTATTTAGTGCACATTTACTGGTGTTGGACTCACCAGGGGTCCCAGTCGTGGGGCATAGACAGCCTGGGGGAAACTTTATTTTGGATACAAGGACCCTGCACCACAACAGGCTCACCCCTGAGCTCCAGGAAAACCCTAGGGCAGGCTTTCTCAACAGCAGCCTTATTGACATTTTATGCAGGTAATGCTATTTTATGGGGGCTTTCTGGTGCATTGAGATATTTAACGACATCCCTGGCTTCTACCCACTATATGCCAGTAGCCCCCACCCACCCCCACACACACCATCCTGTTGTGACGATCAAAAATGTCTCCAGATATTTTCAAGTGTCCCTTGGGAGGGGGAGCAAAATGGCTTCCAGTTGAGAGCTACTGCCCTAGAGATGTCTCTCGCTGCCTCATTAAGAATTTGGGGCTGTTGTGCACAAATCGAGGCTGGGAGAGGGGGCATCCTGGTTTCAGGCTGGGCAGAGCCTCTCCATGTGCCCACATGAACATCTAATAGCTACTGTGCCCTGTTCCTGAGTAGAACCCAACCACTGAGTTCCCATGTGACAGTGCCACCTGGGAAGGGGTTCCCTTAAGCCAGCTCTTCCCAACAGGGTGTTACAAGGAATACTTACTGGCCTAAAGGATGCTCCCTAGGGAAAGAGAAGAGGGTTAAAGAATGTTGCATGGCTATTCACAAAGTACAGCACATGTTGAAGGCTCCGAGAAGTCTTGCAATAAGGAAATCTGCTTAACTTTTAAAATCCAGACTTACACTGTGATCCAGCCATCCACAGATTTAAATACAATTGGCTCAACCCCCAGCTGCAGGTTCTTTGCAAATTCTGGTGCCCTCCTTGCGATTTCTGAGACTTCCCAGAGGGGTTGGCTTCCTGTGCTCACTTCTGGCTCCGGATTCAGCTCCATCCTGCATCGTCCAGCTCATTCATATTGCACCTCTTACCACTTCCCTCTTATTTCTGCTCTCTGCTGACCAAGATGTGGATTTCAGTCCCCTTTCACCTTCCCCAAAATGCCCACCCCAGGCATTGGTGTGCTCAGCAGACTTTACTGAGGTTTGTGGTGGTGGAAGTCTTTTACGTGATTTAGCCCCTTTCCCCTCAAAACTCCCCTTGCCGTCTCCCTAACTCGCTGTTCTTCCAGCCCCTCCTCCCCATGTGACTACATTCTCACTTTATTGCACAAAACAACTTCACTTTCCCCTTTTCGTAGTCTGGAACCTATTTTCGCTCCTTCAAAGCCTTGTTAACAGGTGACCACATAATTCATCATCCAAACTATGACACTTTTGAGAGTGAAAGGGGACCTGATTCATAATGTCACTGGGACAACACATACACACCAGGGAAGTCCCTGGCAGACCAGGGCACATGATCCCACCATGCATCTCTGCTAAACAAAGGGCGTCTACCCCTGGCCTTGCCCTTTATCAATACAGAAAAGGCAGCAGAAGTTTGGAAATGCTCACGTTTCCTTTGCGCCTTCTCCTCCCCTCCCCTGTCCCTCTTAGCGGAATGGAGCCATGGAGCATGTGTTTTCTTCTCGATGTGAACCATGCCACCCACTTTAGAAGGCAAGAAGTGGCTTCCACTGGCTTTGGTTTTTAAGTGGAAATTTCATTTTCTCCATCCCTCTGCTTATTCATCATTTCTCAAACTGATTCAGTCATAGATCTCATTTGTTCTCTCACCCCCATACCTATTAATGTCTTCTGCAACTAGAGCACATTTAGGGGAGCTTTGAGTCCAGAAGTAGGGATGACTGTTTAATGTCACTGAGATCACTTTGGGTGGTGATGGGATTAAGGTGGAATGGAGACCAGGAATCAGGTTCTGGAGTGACCTATAAATGGGGACAGGGGATGCTGGAGATTAACAGATGAGAGCAAAGCTGTGTGGCGTGGTACAGCCAGAGGATAGCCTCCAAAGGACCAGGGGGCCCTATACAAACGATCCATGTACTACGTTGTGGGAAACATGGCCTAGGATCACTGATTTCCAAATTCAGGTCATTTGTAAACTTCATCTCCCCCTACCACCTCCCCTCCACTCCAGACACACTCAGCTCCTTGTTATTCTTTGACCATGTAAGGTACCCTTCTACCGCAGGGCCTTTGCATTTGCTGTGCCTTCTGCCTGAAATGCTCCTCCCTGTTTATCCTCAGGTCTCACTTTCTCACATCCTTTAGGTTAAATGCCAATGAGGCCTTTGCTGACCATCCAATACACAATGGCAGCCCACTCCCACCTGGGAGGTGTTTCCTACCTTCCAATACTTGCTTAATTTTTCTCCGTGGCACATACTGCCACCCTACAGTCTGTGTACTGGCTTGTTTATTCGTTCATTGACTATCTCCCCTTCCTAGAAGGTAAGCTCCATGGGGACATGATTTTGCCTGTTGGATTCATTGCTGTATTCCTGGAGCCTAGTAAATGGTGTTTAATAAGTATTTTTAAGTGAAGAAGGAATGACTCAATTGCAAAGTTCCAGACACCTTGCACAGTCCACACGGCAGCTGCTCCTGGTCAACGGCAACCCAGACCTCTCCTCCAGGTGGCCCCCCATCCTTTGTGGGCATTCACCAAGGCACTCCCTCAGGAGGAAACGCATCCCACGTCCCTGCAGCCTCCACACACACCTCCTCCCCCTCAAACTCGGTATATTGTCCAGCAGTTCTCTCGGGCAGACATACAAGGCAGTCAGCCATTTACATCTTCACACATAGGAGCATGACTCATGAATTAACTCCTACGGGGTCGAAAGCTGGGCCCTCAGAGGAATGAGCCCAAGGCTCAGGAGGGAGAAGAGCTAGAAAGGGTCCCTTGGCAGGCAGTCGGCCTTAGGAATCTGCTTCCGGGGCTACGGGTGGCTTAGATGAGCCTGTCCCTGTGTCTCAGATGTCACTTCTTTCCATTAGAACTGCACTTTGTTACCAATCAATTACAAGAAAACCCAACCATTTACCTCCATCAGAATATGTTTGATGAATTTTTTTTAACACACATCCACACACACATACATCTAAAGCAAAGCCGTGTCAGTATCCAGCTGGGGCATAGGTCCGACTTTTCGCCCTGAAGCATCTCAGTGGCTTCCCATCAGTGGAATACAATAGAAACATATTCCACTTGGTCTGGTGATGTCTTCCTGGGGCGACCGAAAGGGGGCACATTGGCATAGACGGCGAAGTCATCCTCTTTCCAGGGGGCCAGGTTGATCACATTGGAATATATGGCATCAGCACGGCAGGAAAGGTCCTTTAGAGACAGGCCTTGGTTAGAGGCAGATGGCTAGGCACTAGAAACTTCCAAAGACAGAACCCCCTACTGGATTCCCTATAGGGCAGTTCTTGCTGAGCACACCCTGGATCCCCTTGATTCTCAGAAACATTTCCGGTAGGACTGTGCTCTGCCTCCTCCCACCGCCTCCTATATGGAGTCTTTCTAAGAAACGGCGTGAAATCATGGCAGAGATGACTGGGAGCCACTCTGGGGTTACAACTGGACTATTTCCTTACCGAGGATCTTTGGAGAAACTTGGTCTGATGCCTCAGCTGTTTCTTAAATAGTCCTAGAAAAATTAATACTCAGAGTCAGCCTGAGTTGGGGTAGTAACCATGGTTATTTGGTCAATTGCTGGACTTAGGGTTAAACTTCGAAATGCAAAATCAACTATGTTCAACTCACTGGGCCTCTGAGAGCAAGCTAAATGCCCAGGAAGGGACAGGGGAATGAGCGCTCTTGATATATTTTATTATTTTGGTTACTGTTTAGATGAGATTATTTGGCATCAATGTTTCTTTTAGTTGATGCCCATAAGCCGTGAGTGTATATGCCGATTGCTCATATATGACTTTCAGCATAAAGGACTTGTATCAAAAATAAATCTTGCTGCTCTATGCAGAGTCCCTGGCAACTCCAGAGAGCAGACCCGATCGCCTGCCCCCTCCCGCCCCCCAAGGCTGCCCCACAGGAAAGACACCCTCATCTCCGTCCCCAGTTTCTCCCTGGTCTTAATTCCCAGTTCCAGGGCCAGCTCGATCAACTCACTCTCATGCCTCCATTTCTTCAGGGACATGGAGAAGAGACCCACCAGGAGCAAGATGAGGGCCACCACACCAATGGAGCCAGAAATGGCTGTGGCTGCTGTGCCAAAGCTGAAAGAAGCAAACAAGAAATGAGGATGTGCCAGCTTTGGCCCCTCCGCTGCTGTAGGAGCTCTCCCACTTCTGGGCTTCCACATCCCCAAGAGCAATCATCTCCTGCCTCCATTTGGAGCCTCTCTCCTCTGCCCCAACCTCATGACAACGCCCCCACCTGGGCCAAGCAGGCCCCTTCTCCCTGGCACGCCCCCCAACTCCTCCCCCTTACGTCCAGCCCTTCTCTCACCCACCTGCTGAGTTCTACAAGTTTAGTCTCTGGCTTCAGGGTGGTGAAGTTCTCTGCAGAAAGGGATGGGATGGGAAGGGAAAGGAAAGGAGATGTGAGAGTAATTCTTATACACCTGCTATAGACTGTTTGTGTCTTACCAAAATTCACATGTTAAATCCTAACCCCCAACGTGATGGCCTTTGGGAGGTGATTAGGTCTTAAGGATGGAGCCCCTCAGGAATGGGATCAGCATCCTTATAAGAGACCCCTAGAGAGAGAGTCCCCTCACCCGCCTCCACCATGTGAGGACACAGCGAGAAGTCAGCCACCTGTGAGCCAGGCAGCGGGCTCTCACCAGACACTGAATATGCTAATGCCTTAATCTTGGACCTACCAGCATCCAGAACTGTGAAAAATACATTTCTGTTGTTTATAGAGTCCACGCAGTCTATGGTAATTTGTTATAGGAGCCCAAACGGACCAAGACACCACTCACACGAATGAGCTCTACAGGATCTAAATGGTAATACGAGCTACCATTTACTGGGGGCTCAATATATGCCAGGCACATTCATGACCTCGTTTACTCTTCCTAAACGGACAATGAGGTAGGACTAATCATTAGCCCCTCCTTGTAGTAAAGAAACCAGCTCACAGAGATCAAATTTTTTCAAGGCCACTGAGCCAATACGTGACAAAATTTGAACTTGAACCAACATCTGTCTGACTTTAATTTGTGTGGTCATTTCACTCTCAAGTTCTGCCAAGCCTACAGGGGGTTAAGGGGTAGCGGTTATGACAGGATGTCCAGAAAAAGGACAGCCAGGACAATGCAGGTGATTGGTATCCAGGGAGGAGCATGTAAGAGGACTGGAGGGGGATCAGGACAACAGAAAGCTGGTCTGGAACTAGGCAGAGGTGGCAGGTGTGAAACCCTGCTCCCATGTTCTGGGTAGGGATGGGGGGCTTCTAGCATCCACACTGTGAAAAAATTTCTCCTGCATCAAGGGAGGGAGACACCAAGCCCACCCCCTCCCCAGCCATAGTCTGTCCCTAGATTCTCAGAGTTCGAATGAATCTTAAATCTATCCAAACCCTCCGGCTGTACAGGTGAGGAATCTTAGAATAAGCCACTTGTCCCACATTAAATGCTGGAGCCAGGAGTTGAGTCTATGTTTTTAACTCCGAACCCAAGGCTCTCTTTGCCTGCACGCAGACCCCTTCCTGTTCCTTCTCTGACAAAGTGAAGCCGCACAATTCAGCCCACATAGCAGGTAAGTTCTCTCCACATACATGTCTTAGAAGCTGGCTACTCAGACCCCCCAGTGCAGAGATTGCTGCTAAAGTCGGTGGAGGGAACATATCAGACCACTAGGGCAATCTAACACCCACTGACGATAAATAGCATCTGGGGTAGAAGCACACGAAAGCAGATGGAATTGTGCAGGGCACCCTAACAGCTCACTTCCTGTCTGCATTTTTTCCTGTCTCCCTTCTGAATAAGATGGCTGACCTCCCCCGTCTTCAGGCAGTCACTTAACCACTGTGCCTCATTCCTTTCATCTGTGAGATGGACATCCTATGAAAACCTCCCTCCCAGGGTTAATGCCACCTGCCTACAGCTGGTTTCCAGCCGGTCTGACCTGAGCAGAACAGGGGTGTGGAGCTGTTCAGGAAGGCATCGCTGGCTCTGGAGTCCTGCAACCCACAGTTTGTCCAATTCATTTTGCCAAGGAGTCCACGCAGGAGGTGTTGGTCCCAGGTGAAGTTCTCGGGACAGATGGTCCCCTTTGGTTGGAAGCAGAGTTTCTCAGAGGTATTTCGCAGTAGTTGGCAGACACAGGACCCAAGGGAGCTGGCACCTCTCTCCTCCTCCATCTCTTTCATTCCTCCTCAGGAATCTGTTGGCTGGGAAGAATGTTGGAAACTCACCACTGGAGGGAACGTCCTCAAAAGGCACTGAGATAGCATCTCTCTCCTAAGGAAGCCATCTTCAGATGGCCTTCCCCAAACACATAGTCCAAAGTCAGCTCCCCAGCCTCTCTGCCGCATCACCCTCTGATCTATTAGCACAAGAATTTGCCCCTATCATTTAGTTGTCTGCTTAGTTATTGTCCATCTCTCATCATAAGAATATAAGCTCCATCAGAATGGAAACCTTGTCTGTTCTGGCCATCACTACATCCCAGTGCTTAGAACAGTGCCTCATGCAATGAATACGGTCAATATATACTTCTTGAATGAATGAATGCTAAAGACTTGGTTGGAGCACCTGATCAGGGTCACTGATAAGAGTTGGAATCACGGTGAGCCTCCACCACAGATTTTTTAAACCCTTGGTTGATGGCAAATCTTTGTCCTTTGAAGGATAAGTTGATTTGAAAGTCTGAACCGACCAAATTGTGTGATAACGTAGGTGATAACTGAACTGGGTAACGCCAATTACGGAAATAGAGGAGCTGTAACTACCAAACACCAAGAGCAAAGCCCTGGAGGAGCTTGGAGGAGGTCGTCCTTCCAGGAGTGCGGGGAGCCCAGGCAAAGAGAGTGAGGACACGTGACCCCACCGGCCGCCGTCACAGGCGATAACGTGCCGCCTTGGCCTCCAGCCCCCTGCTGCAGGTGTGCGGAGGGAGAGGTGTGTTTAAGGACAAATGAAAGAGGACCTGTCACCCTTCTCCATGCTCAGTCTTTCCCAGGTGTGCAGTGCTCCGCGCAGGCCACCTGACGTGTGATCTGACAACACACTGCACGAAGGAGCAGGTCTGAGACTTTTGCGCTCTCCCACCAAGCCAGACATTAGTAGTGGGATCGGCAAAAATGGAAAACAATGCCTCTCTTCTCAGCAAACTTTTCATGTTTTGGAAAACAGGGTCATTTTTCATAAAACTATGTTATTTAGGTGAATACGTAATGGTTTTGGTACTATTTTTTAAGTAAATATTTTAAATTATTCTTGGTTTTAATTTTCTAATATGATAAGTATAAACAGATAAAACCTTCATAAATAATAGCTGTTTGGGTTCCTTAGTAACTTTTAATGGGGCTGCGAGACCAAAACGTCTGAGATCTCCTGGTCTAAAGCCTCATGGTGTTTCTTTACCAGAGGATTCCAAGGCTGTGGCACAGCAAGGGGTGCCAGCCAGATGCGGAGAACGGGAAAGGTGTTCTCATACGGCCGTATAAGTCAAGGAGGACAGATACCACTTGGGAGAGAGAACTCTCCAGGGCTTCCTGGCTGGCAATGCGGCAGCTGTGTGGGCAGCTGTGCCAGAGGCGGCAGAGCCCGGGCAAAGGGGGGTGAGGTTCTGAGGTGGGGAGCCAGGGAGGAAGCAGAAGCCACATGCCCAAGCTGCTGACTGCCTCCCCCTATAATTCCCGGGGTCACGGGCCCTTCCCCGAATCCTTCCTCCATGGCTGCTGGTGCCTGAAATTCCAATCGGGTGTTTCATTCCTTTGGACAAAAGGCAAATTCAGTCCGAAACAATACCAAGTATCATTCAAGCTTACATGAATGTGTATGTAAATAACTTTACAGTTATTGAGATAGATTGGGAAGTTACACTTTAATAAAACAAAAGTCTGTATCTGTGGCAGGTGCAGGATGGTTGGGTGGGAGGAATGGCCATGGAGAATAAAGGGGTCCAAAGAGGATTAAATAAAGAGACCACGACAGTCATGATGGCAAAGTGCCACCAACAGAGGAATTTGATCAAATTAATCCTGAGCAGCCAAAAAAAACAAAAAAAAATCCAATCCAACCAAATTTTTTTTTTTTTTTTAGTATGTGGTATGTGCCCAGCAGTGTAAGTCAGGAGCAGAAAGGAACTGGACATGGGCCCTGGACTCGGAGAGCGCTGTCCCACCTCACCCTCCCACCCCGGTGTAGCCAGAAAAATATCCATTGACCCCCAACAGCTGAAACAAAAGGCAGGCATATGCTTAGTGTTAAAACAAAGCGCTATTGGATCAGAAAGGAAGGATAAGACATTGCTAACTCAGGGGAGGAGGGAAGGCTGCTTGGAGGAAGTGGCATTCGTGCTGGTCCTGGACAATGAGAAGGACTCCTATAGGCAGTGCTAAGACTGTAGACATAACTGGGTGCTATGGGCAAGGGGTGGCAGATGGAACGTGCAGTCATTTTTCCCCCAATGAACATCTGAAACCATTGAAAAGACAAGGTGCCCTGGACCCCTGAAGATGAAAGGAAGTTGTCACCTAGGAAAGAGAGATGGAACCTGGGGGGACAGGGTACAGGAAAGACAGTTCACAAACAAGCCTTCAACAGCCCTACATGGACCAAGACCACGTCTGATTTGACTTCTCTTCCCAGCATGTAGGCCAGTGCCTGGAACATAACAGGCCCAAAATAAATGCTTTATGAATGGGTGAAAGATGACATATGCTCCTCTTTCCCAGGCTGGCCACAGATGTACCACTGTAATTCCATCTTCAGATGGCCTTCCCCAAACACATAGTCCAAAGTCAGCTCCCCAGCCTCTCTGCCGCATCACCCTCTGATCTATTAGCACAAGAATTTGCCCCTATCATTTAGTTGTCTGCTTAGTTATTGTCCATCTCTCATCATAAGAATATAAGCTCCATCAGAATGGAAACCTTGTCTGTTCTGGCCATCACTACATCCCAGTGCTTAGAACAGTGCCTCATGCAATGAATACGGTCAATATATACTTCTTGAATGAATGAATGCTAAAGACTTGGTTGGAGCACCTGATCAGGGTCACTGATAAGAGTTGGAATCACGGTGAGCCTCCACCACAGATTTTTTAAACCCTTGGTTGATGGCAAATCTTTGTCCTTTGAAGGATAAGTTGATTTGAAAGTCTGAACCGACCAAATTGTGTGATAACGTAGGTGATAACTGAACTGGGTAACGCCAATTACGGAAATAGAGGAGCTGTAACTACCAAACACCAAGAGCAAAGCCCTGGAGGAGCTTGGAGGAGGTCGTCCTTCCAGGAGTGCGGGGAGCCCAGGCAAAGAGAGTGAGGACACGTGACCCCACCGGCCGCCGTCACAGGCGGTAACGTGTCGCCTTGGCCTCCAGCCCCCTGCTGCAGGTGTGCGGAGGGAGAGGTGTGTTTAAGGACAAATGAAAGAGGACCTGTCACCCTTCTCCATGCTCAGTCTTTCCCAGGTGTGCAGTGCTCCGCGCAGGCCACCTGACGTGTGATCTGACAACACACTGCACGAAGGAGCAGGTCTGAGACTTTTGCGCTCTCCCACCAAGCCAGACATTAGTAGTGGGATCCGCAAAAATGGAAAACAATGCCTCTCTTCTCAGCAAACTTTTCATGTTTTGGAAAACAGGGTCATTTTTCATAAAACTATGTTATTTAGGTGAATACGTAATGGTTTTGGTACTATTTTTTAAGTAAATATTTTAAATTATTCTTGGTTTTAATTTTCTAATATGATAAGTATAAACAGATAAAACCTTCATAAATAATAGCTGTTTGGGTTCCTTAGTAACTTTTAATGGGGCTGCGAGACCAAAACGTCTGAGATCTCCTGGTCTAAAGCCTCATGGTGTTTCTTTACCAGAGGATTCCAAGGCTGTGGCACAGCAAGGGGTGCCAGCCAGATGCGGAGAACGGGAAAGGTGTTCTCATACGGCCGTATAAGTCAAGGAGGACAGATACCACTTGGGAGAGAGAACTCTCCAGGGCTTCCTGGCTGGCAATGCGGCAGCTGTGTGGGCAGCTGTGCCAGAGGCGGCAGAGCCCGGGCAAAGGGGGGTGAGGTTCTGAGGTGGGGAGCCAGGGAGGAAGCAGAAGCCACATGCCCAAGCTGCTGACTGCCTCCCCCTTTAATTCTCAGGGTCACGGGCCCTGCCCCGAATCCTTCCTCCATGGCTGCTGGTGCCTGAAATTCCAATCGGGTGTTTCATTCCTTTGGACAAAAGGCAAATTCAGTCCGAAACAATACCAAGTATCATTCAAGCTTACATGAATGTGTATGTAAATAACTTTACAGTTATTGAGATAGATTGGGAAGTTACACTTTAATAAAACAAAAGTCTGTATCTGTGGCAGGTGCAGGATGGTTGGGTGGGAGGAATGGCCATGGAGAATAAAGGGGTCCAAAGAGGATTAAATAAAGAGACCACGACAGTCATGATGGCAAAGTGCCACCAACAGAGGAATTTGATCAAATTAATCCTGAGCAGCCAAAAAAACAAAAAAAAAAATCCAATCCAACCAAATTTTTTTTTTTTTTTTAGTATGTGGTATGTGCCCAGCAGTGTAAGTCAGGAGCAGAAAGGAACTGGACATGGGCCCTGGACTCAGAGAGCGCTGTCCCACCTCACCCTCCCACACCGGTGTAGCCAGAAAAATATCCATTGACCCCCAACAGCTGAAACAAAAGGCAGGCATATGCTTAGTGTTAAAACAAAGCGCTATTGGATCAGAAAGGAAGGATAAGACATTGCTAACTCAGGGGAGGAGGGAAGGCTGCTTGGAGGAAGTGGCATTCGTGCTGGTCCTGGACAATGAGAAGGACTCCTATAGGCAGTGCTAAGACTGTAGACATAACTGGGTGCTATGGGCAAGGGGTGGCAGATGGAACGTGCAGTCATTTTTCCCCCAATGAACATCTGAAACCATTGAAAAGACAAGGTGCCCTGGACCCCTGAAGATGAAAGGAAGTTGTCACCTAGGAAAGAGAGATGGAACCTGGGGGGACAGGGTACAGGAAAGACAGTTCACAAACAAGCCTTCAACAGCCCTACATGGACCAAGACCACGTCTGATTTGACTTCTCTTCCCAGCATGCAGGCCAGTGCCTGGAACATAACAGGCCCAAAATAAATGCTTTATGAATGGGTGAAAGATGACATATGCTCCTCTTTCCCAGGCTGGCCACAGATGTACCACTGTAATTGA